ACATTCTGTTCTGATTAAGATTCGCATTGCTTTGTCTGCGATCAAGATTTCTTTGATATCGATAACACTGATGTCCAAAAATCCGAAACCCCGGTACTGACGGCAGTTGGCCGACAATCGCATCCAAACTAGGGCATCTTGCGGCGGGAAGCGTCACGAACTCCTCTTGAGGGTCCCAAACAAGGATAACGTGGAGAACTACCCATGCAACATCAGGTCCGTAATTTTGAACATGTTGCAGACAGCTAGGTAGAGTTTATGTCATGCATGTTGCGGAGACGAACGTGAGAGAGTGTTTCATGATCGGCCAGGCACATCCAGGCCTCAACGCGTCAACAAATTAGGATTCGGATTTCAGGTTAGGCCGAGCAGATCATCAGAGTGGTGACAGGAGGAGCAAGATGGAGCATTGCTAAGGTGCTTCACCCACTGCATCATCGTGTGGTCCAAGGCCACCCGCAACAGGACTGTTGACGGTGACGACAGAACTAACAGCCTAAGAGTGGACAAGACATGACAAGACCAGTTGCAGCATCTTGACCGTTGTCTCAATGTGCTTGGCATTTAAACAAGACAAGCCACAGTCCCAAGCAAAGACTACTCTCCCTGCCCATAAACCCTGAATCATGAAAGTCTTTGCGAAAGGATAATGCTTTCCCATTTATTCGCAGGGAAAATCCCTGACCCGATGAGATTTTCTTGTGTTCATGAGAAACGCCTATGTGAGGGGCATGGGCCCTTACGCGACCCAAGCCTCAACTCCGTCTAAGCTTTTGGCTTTGATCCATTGGGACTGAAGACACGGTCAGGGTTTCAGGACTTCTTCGCAGATTTTGGGGTTTCTGGTTCCACTGGAAGGCCGTGCTTTTCGGCTTGGCGTCACTGCCCCCCTTCGAAGCCATCTCTGCACCTAAGAAGGGAGTCAGTCCTCTGCTCTCGGCTTTCAAGCGTTGAAAGGGTGTGACAGAAAAATGTGCTTAGCAAGCTGGATCGAGCTTGCAGGGCTTAGGCTGTCGTGGCTGCAGCTTTGGAGCTAGTGGCAGTACAGTGGCAGTCCAAAGAGCGAGCCGGTAAGGCTTGTGCTGTTTGGGGCTGAAGCCTATGCCTTTCATGGTGCTACTAGTTGCAGAAGCCTGGGGCTGCGTGCAGGTAGAGCTTCCGTCACATCCGAGGATCTCAGCGTCATTCCTTCCAGTTCAGCCTTTCTGCTGTTGGTTGCCCTGTTCCAAAGTGGCTTCGTCCCCCGCAGCACCTGGAGTGCCACTGTGCTTGCTGTCGCTTACAATCTCGTCCTGCTCCACAACCAGTACGGAATCATTGTTTTTGGTGTCGTGGACCGCGAGACTTTGCTTCTGGGCTGAGTCAGCACGCATTGCGAGCAGTTTTCATGTTAAATGTTTTCTCAGGACCCCCCCCCCTCGCATCCCGTCCAAGCTCTGAACCATACGCCCTCAACCCTAAAGCCTTAAATCCCATGCCCTGGCCCTAGCACGTATGTAGCCCTGAGCTATAAGCCTGCCAAGGATGATCATCGTCCGACTCTTCGCAGGTTTTTTGTTCTGCGACCACCGGAAGGCCTCCGAGCTCCTGGCACAACCTCAAGACCCTGAAAAGGTCTTAAATGAGCCAGGGTTTAGAGTGTGCCGTTTAGGGTTAAGGGATGCAAGACCGACACCTTAGCCTTTTTGTGATGAGACTGTTCGCCGCCAGGAGACATAGACAATGAGCAACTGTGCCATGTACACCTTAGCAGTTTGAGACCAGAACCCGCTGACGCCCAAAACCCATAAAACTATGAAGCCTTAAAGCCCTGAACCCCGAAATGACTCGAGATACCGACCCCTGAGGCGGCTTGCGTGCAAGTGTTCTTTATGATTCTTGACTGCCCTGGCAGTTTCGGATTTCGGTTTGGGGTTTAGGGTTTAGGAAGTGTCGGATTTTGGGATCTATCCTTGAGCAGTTTATGGGACTGGGGATCTTTATGGGCTCTGGAGTCTGCGGGTTCGTTTAGGGTTTAGGCTAGGGTTTTTGGTTCTTGGTGCCGCGACGGTTGAAGTGAGCTCGGAGCGGCGACAACTGAAACGGTTGAATCCTGGCTTTTGCTCTAGTGTGTTTCCATAGATGTAGCACTATCTCACATATCATCAGAACCGCCTACCAGATCTTGGCTACATAGCACTGTCTTTTTTGTCGCTTCACACCTGCGCCCCGATCTTATCCATCAGCAGCAGTGCTGCACATCCGACCGAAGGGAGTGCCAGAGTTGCGGCGGTGTTGGGTCTAGGGCACATCTCCTCGCGCCAAAGACCGTCCCCCAGAGACACAGGATCTGCTCCAGCCAGGGTTTGGCTGCCTGCTAAACCATCCTGAACATGTCTAGGCCAGAAGCGATGGATAGCGATGGCTCCTGAGGATCATGCAAGCCCCTGTCCCTGCTTTTCGCGGTTCCTCCGCAGAAGAGCTCAACATGTGGTGGGAGCTCAGGCTGCAAACATACTATGTCTCTATTAAGTTGTACCTCGTGGTTTTCTGTTATGTAATGTCACAGTTTACGACATTCTAATGGTTGAGTGGAGCAACTACTCGCCACAGCCAACCTAGCAACTACGCTTGTCAAAGCCGGGTTCTGGAAGCTCGAGTAGAGTTCGCAAAGTCGACAAGCATATGTTTGAGGCAACAAGAAGTGACAAGATGTAGTAGGACGTTACGAAATTTGTATCAATACCGAGCAAAATGCACGTGTGCACACGCGTGTCGTCATTACCCCCCCTCCCCCCAAGCACCCGAACCCTTCCGACATCCGGAGCTCGAGTTGGCAAAGTCGACCAGTTGATTTTGAGACAGCAAGAAGTGGTAGGCCATTACGAAAGTACCGAGCGAAATGCATGTGCTCGAAGATGGTGCAGAGCAAGCTTAGCTGGTAGGGGGTGCGAATACTACTACTACCACCACCACCATCACCGCCACCGCCACCACCACCACCACCACCCCTGCCGCCGCCGCCGCCGCCGCCGCCGCCGCCGCCGCCGCCCCCACCACCACCACCACCACCACCACCACCACCACCACCACCACCACCACCACCACCACCACCACCACCACCACAGGACGCAGTTTTCGTTGTTCGCCCGTGCTTTCAAGATAGTTTTGCAATGTTGACATGGCACACCCCAGACCCTAAACCAAGACCTAAACTGAGGATGTGGTGTTGTGGCAGATATTTCGCCAGTTTGTCGTCGTGGGGCCCATGTGGCTCATGCTTCTCGGCACACGACGGCTCTGCTGCTGCCAGAACTGCCATCGCTACTACTACAACAACAACTACTACTACCACTGCTGCTACCACTACTACTACCACCACTACTCCTCCTCCTCCTCCTACTACTACTACTACTGCTACTACTACTGCTACTGCTACTGCTACTGCTACTGCCACTCCTACTCCCAATGGAATCCTACTCCCACTCCTACTCCGACTACATCTGCTACTGCTACTACTGCTACTACGACCACGACATTGCCACTATTACCACTACCGCTGCCACCAGTCCGACCTCCTAGTCCTCCCTCCTCCATCCTCCATTCTCCTCCTCCTCCTCCTCCTCCTACTGCTCCTTCTCCTCGTGCTGCTGCTGCCCCCGCCGACGAATGTAGCGTCACCCTTATTACTCATGGTTCAGCGTCAGTGTTTCTGTGACGAGAACTGTTGGCCCCATTCGCTTGTGAATGCTAGCTCACTCTCCAGCTCGTGCGAAAACAACCCAGATGGCACAACAAACATTGAACCCATGACTGCTGCATCATTAAATCCGAGCCATTCCAGGTGGTACATTGTCGAGTACTTCGTATACCAGCTGCTTGCCTGCTATGGCACATCTGCAGTACCACACTTCAGAGTGCAAATGGAGGAAAACGGGCGCGATCAGACTCCAAATCTAGTTCTAACTGCAAACACGAGATCGGCGAAGCGCTGTGCACTGTCGTCGCTGTGGATTGAGATAACATTGACAAAAAAGGCAGTACGCTCTGGTTGAGCACGAGTCTGTCTAAAAAAGTCATACAACATGATTGCATGTTTCGACTGCAAGCTCCGCTTCCCAACGTCCTGAGGGAGATTAGCATATGCCCCAGGTTCTCAGAGCTCATCGTGTCCAAGGCCGCAGTGAATGCGTCGCTGACTGCTGCAAGAGTGCCTGTGCTTGATTCTTGACATGCTGGGAGGTAGCTGAGGGTGCGTGATGGCTCTAACTGCTTAGAGACATCTTTGATAGGGCGACCTAGTTCGTGGGCGACAGCAACAGGAGAAAGAGCAACGGCAAATGTAGGAGTAATGGACTTGATCCCAGGCTGTTCTGGCAAGCCAGTGCGATGCGGAAGCGATCTTGGATGATGCAGTTTGGCTCCATTGGGATTTGGGTGTTCGCCTCGATTGTCGGGCCAGAATATACGTATGTATTCACGCAGGAAAACAGGGGAAAACCACCCATGCAAGAATTCGATCATCGTCAAATCTTGTGAAACTGGTGGCTCGGCACATTGTAGAAGCCACTGGATGTTCATGTAATGTTGCCTCCTTTTCTGATCCGCCTCCTGCTGCAAGTCCTCCGAGGCCATAAATTCCGGAGACCATACCCAAAGAAGCCCCTCAACCAAGTCTCCAAGTTTCTCTTCGCCCCAAGGAAAGGATCTGCGGAACCCAGGCAGAAGCAACTCCAACGCCATTGTGTATAACGTATTCCCATGATCATGCGCTTGCCCATTGTAGTACAGGCAGGTATAGGGCTCAGAAAACCCACCAGCGGGATAGCTGATTGCCCCAGCGCAACACGCGCGCCGTAGCCTGTGGACTTGCAGCCATAGGCCATCCTCCTAGCCCCTGCTGGCACCGCCACAAGAGGGCGCTACGAAGCCGAGCCGTCCGAAGGGTCAGGCAGGCAAAAACCAAAGGATCACGTCCACCGCGAAGGGACGTGCAGAGGCTTCAGTCCCACCACGGCCATATGGGCAAACGTGGCGGAAAATGGAAGCAAGGAGACGAACAAGAATGGACAGACGGAGAGTGGGCACAGCCTGCTTGGCGGCTTTGGCGGGGTGGTGCTGCAGTGTCGCCCAAAGCCACAGCGCGCCCCCCATGGCACCGAGATGGACAGCGGCCGCATGCACCCACCAGGGCGCTGGCCTTTCCGCATTACGATGCGAAGAAGGCGCCGGAGGCCGCCATTGTGCCGGTGGCGGAGAAGAAAGCACCCGGACTTGCAGCGGCGCCAGCGACGGCGCCCTCCTTGGTCAAGGTGATCCAAGCAGCCGTCAATACAGCCAGGAAGCACGAGAACAGAGTGGGGCGACTCCAGAAAGAACTGGACAATGGGAAGCTGCAATGGGACGCATATGTCCAAGAGATGAAGGACACCTTGCGCAAAGAGAAAGCCCGCTTTGTGCAAGAGCAAAACCGCCTCACGGCGGCAGTTCAAGACGCCAAAGACCAGCAGACCGAGGCATATGCCCAGCTGCAGCAGGCTTTCTTGACGGGGACACGGCCACAAGCGAAGGCGGACAAGGGGATCGCCGAGGATCTCGCCGAGTGGAACGAGGTCATGACGGGGATGGAAGAGGCGCAGTCCTCAACAGGCGGCGTCAACATCGCGGCCCTGGTGGATGCTCTCAAGCAGGCCGGGATACCGATGCCGGGTCTGGAAGACCCATCAGGGAAGGCGCCAACCACGCCGCCGAGGCGGCCTCCGGAGATGCCTGCGACCACACCGCCAGCCTCACCTCGCACAGCAGCACCCTCGCGACTTTCGGCAGAGGCAGCGACCACGCCATCCCCTACGCGCACCAAAGATCCTTATATGAGCTCGCCAAGCCTGGCACACTTCGGGATACCTTCCCCTCGGCCGGCGCCGGTGGAAACGCCCTCTACCGGAACGACTGGCCAGAAGAACCAAGAGAGCGAGGCCTCGACGACCGGCGGACCGATGGGCTCTTGCGAGAACAGCCCGACTCCTCTGGCAGAGCGACTTGCAGCGAAACGGAAGGTCACGAGGGCAGCCATGGCCCCCTTTGGCGTTGCCCGTGGCGAGGGACCATTTGGACCGGCGGGCGAGCCGAAGGAGGATGCGAGGACCAAGGGAACGGAGCTGGACACGATCACTCTGGATGTCGACGATTCGGAAGAGCTCCTAAGCTCTGCATCGCCAGGGCTGGGCAAGCTGGAGTAGCACATTGTGAGAGGGATGCCTCGGCCATGCATACGGCTGTTTTGCTCGGGCCGTGTGATGCGAGCCGTCTAGAGGGACAGAGCCCATCAGAGTCTTGGGGAAGGACTCTGGTGAGGCGGGCTCCCTGTGGACAAGGCTGCATTATTCAGGCCCAGGGCGAGTGCCATCTGAGAAGGTTAGTTTCTCCCGGTAGGACCATGTACAGTTTGGACAGCGAGTTTTCGGCATCGGCAGCTCATGTCTCTCCTTCGTGGCCTCTTCCTTGCCGGAGAAATGTGGCTTCCGCCCACTGGGTTCGTGGGTTGGCTGTCAGGTTTCTCCTCGTCTCCTCTGCCAGGGGTGGACAGCACTGGATTGGTGCTTGTCCACACTTGGCCCCGCCATGCCCTATACCGTGCAATCCAGCCCAGCTTTCCTTCACGCGTGCGCGCCCTGTTTCTTCCTGGTCCGTGGACCAACTGAGCGCACAGCGTCCTCATCGAGGTCTGGCCCTGGCACATTTTTGCGAACAGCCTCAGCCACAGGTTTTGGTCCGGGCGCAACCGTGCGCACAGCGTCAGCCAAGGGGTTTGGCCTTGGCGCAATCGCGCGCACAGCGTCAGCTGTGGAGGGTTTTCTCGAAGAAACTGCAGGCACAGGACTCCTCATGTCCTTCGGGGTCAGCGACTTTACGTGCACTGCGTCAGCCTTGGAGCCCGGACTTGGAGCTGCCGTGCGCACAGCGTCAGACAAGGGGTTTGAGGTTTTGTAGGGGCCTAAGAAGTACATCGGTGGCGCAGGGGTACTCTCCTACTTCTTCTCATAGCCTTGTGCTGTCGAAAGCACAACCCGGATACATTCTGCGGTTCTTCCCGTTGGCCTGGATGGTGCTCGGATGTGCCTTGCTGTGCTCCACTGTTGTATGGCACCCATGCTACGAAGGCTTCCGTCACTGTCTTTTGGCATTTCGGTGGCGAGTACAGCTCGCAGACATCCCAGAATCCTTCCGTGACACCGGGTGTGTAGGATCAGCCTTGCCTTGGCCCGCCTTTGGCGTTGCGCTGGTTGGGAGTACTGTGGCTCTTACATGTAGCAGGTATGAAGCCTCCGTGCTGTGGATTTCGGCTGCACAGCAAGCCCTGGCCTGGCAATGCACCAGTTCTTGGATCCTCCTTTGCCTTTTGCTCAGGCTTCTTTTGCAGGGTTATGGGGTCTTCCGACGTTCCCGAGCTAAGGTGCCCAAGCTCGAGTGCCATTTTTGCCAAGCCTGCATTGGAAGCCTGGTAAGGGTCACCGGAGCACGATCAGGACCACTGTGCTGGCAACAGCTGCCTCGAACCCGCTGTGGCACACTCCCCAGGTCTGACTCCAATATCCAGGTGCAGGCACTTTTCCATCAACTCTGGAGCCCTGCGTTTGCGCCTTGCCAAACAGTTGCATGGAGCCCGTTTGTTCAATCGCTTGCTCCTGAACCATTGATGTGTGTTGACAGGGGTGTGGATGCTCCCGGTCCAGCCAGCTACACGGAGAGTGTTCCATACCTCACAGCCAAACTCAATCAAGAACCCCCCTCCAATACGGCTGCCGAGCGAGAGACTCTTGAGCTCCTTCGCGACCACCAGCTTGCAGCGGGCCGGCCATGGCCCACAGTGCCTGCCGATGATCCTTACACCAATGTGGACGAGCAGCTAGGCTCTGAAACTGAAGAGGCATCCCCTGCCGGTGACAGCCTTAATGTGGGGATCTTGACCATTGGCTATACCACGGAAGTGGTGCAGGTCAGGCTTGAGGCTCCAGCCACCATGCAAGATCTGGTCGAGCAAGTCACCATGCAGCGCGATGAGGTGATGGGACGGGTTTACCCCCTGCTGCGCGCAGTTGAGCCGCAACCCTCAGATGCATATGGACTTCTGGCAGCGCTGCCAGGCTGGGCAGCGAGTGAGTGCATCGCCTGCTATAATCTGCTCGATTTTGACGGCCGCCTCTTCGTCGATTCGGCCCCGACAACCGCCACGAAGGCAACCTTAAAGCGGTTAGCAGCTTTGCCCGACCAAGCTCGGGTGGACATTTATGTGGGTACCAGTGCAGTGCCACTTGATGAGAATGATGAGACAGCTCTCCAGTCAGGTGTGTGCATTTTCTTCATTCCTCAATATGACCTGCCCGGCCCATACTTTTGGTTGCCTGATCTCCTGCGCTCGTCAGACACTTGGGACCTCGCATGCGCGTCTCCTGCCGCAATTCAGGGCCCTTTTCTTTGTGCGGTCAGTGAAAGAGGACACAGGTGTGTGGCCTTCGACTCTGAACAGGAGTATGGAGACCGAACCATCCTGGCGGCCGCCCTTGAGCTTCATCCTGAGGCCCTTGTCATGCAAGCTGCCCTGCCGCCGGTGCAGGATGTGGCCCTTCACGGCCGGTACTGTAAAGAGGTCCTAGTGATTGCGAAGCCTGAAGATCCCTACACATGCGAACCCACATGGGACTTGACACTCTCTGTCATCGACTGTAGGGCGCAGCTGCAAGGATGGTTGGCGGTTGTCACAAGGGGCCCCCTTGTCTCGTGTTCTGAGATTGAGGAAATTCTGTCCACCTTCGCTCCGGTTGGGTGGGCTCTACACCTTGAGAGGCTGTTTCGGCAGGGCACTGATTTTGTGCAGGCTCCGGGACAGGTCGCCTATGCCTCTTATGTCCTCGATGTACCAGCTACGCACAGTGGCGAGACGCAGGAGAGTGAGGTTGGCACAGATGATGTCGAGGCAGCAGGCACTGTTGTGGAAGCAGATAGCTCTGACCCGGATCATGAGAGCCACTCCCCGCGTCACAGGAGCCGCACACCACGCAGACAGGCTGACGCTTACTTCATGAGCCCAGACGCTGGCTACACAGCTGCCTTCCTGGTCTTAACACCGGAATACGACCCGGAATCTGTGCTGGTTCCCCTCCCGGGACCGTGTGAGGAGGATGTCGCATTCCAAGCCCTGCAGCGATATCGATCGCGACATCAAGCACGCAATTTCCCGACCATCTACGCTGCGCGACCTCAGCCTGCAGGAGGTTACGCAGTCTGCCTTGCCCTTCCAGAGTGGTGCACCAGCCCATTTGTCATCATCGATGCCTTGCGGCTTGAAGGATCGATTTTTGCTGTGCCTGCTCGAACACGCTGCGATCGCAACACCCTATTGGCATATGCGGGTTTTGCCCCGTCCTCCTTGATCGAGGTCTATGTGCCGGACAGGCCCGAGCCCCTGTCCGCTGACCAAGAGGTACAGGTTGCCACTGGGGACTGCATTTCCCTGGTCCCCTTCTCTGGTGCCTCTGACCAGCCTCTCCGACAGATTGCAAGACCCCACAGGTTGGGATCATAATTTTGTCACTCCGGGTCTTCCTGGGTTCTGGGTTCACGTGCTTACTGCGCAGGGACAGGACCGCTTTCGCATTGATCCTGACCGCCAGAGATTTCTGCGCTCTGAGGTCCCACAGCAGCTGCAACTCGGTGACCAGCCCCATAAGATCCAGACCGTCTACCTTGACCCCCCTAACGCCTTTGACTACGGCAGTCATGCGGACGCCTTGCTGATAGTTGACGTGGGCTCCGACGACCCTGAGACCATAGATCTACGGGAGTCGGATGTGCATGACGTGCTTTACTGTCTTGACCTCCGTCCAATCACGTGCGGGCTCACCTGGGGGCGCGCAGCCGATGGTCTGGTCTCAAGTGAGACAATTGCAGCAAACTGCCGTGCCCATTGCCCCGCAGGCTATTACACTGTAGTACGCGGTGGCACCCCTATTCGTGCTGAGGCAGGCCCGGACCTGCAGGTCCATCCCGGCAGCGTTCTTACGGTTGAATTTGTTGCACTTCCACCGCGGCCAGACCGTGATGGTGGAGTCCAGGGTCCGCCGGGTGCCGATGCCGACACAGACCACACTGATAGCTCGGACAGTTCAGATTCCGACAGCGACTCTGACCCCCCGGGCCATTCAAGCTCCGAAGCGGCTTCGCCACACAAGCGCCCTCGACACTCACGACGGTCAGGTGGAGGGGCCACAGCGGGACATGCCGCTGCGCAGCCTGTCTCCTACGGGGACACTTGTGCAGGCCCTCGCGAGCGCACATCCCGACCTTTCAACAAAAGCTCTGTCGTCCTCTTTTTGCTCTGCCTCGTGGGGCATACGCAACCGGCGGCCAGCGGCCGGGCTATGTCTCCTTCACTCACCTCAAGGCCGAGGCATGATTTAGAGATGATGGGAGCCACGGGCATGATTGCGTCAGCTGTGTCAACCGACGCTCACTTGTGTGGTCCTGCAGCAAAGCAGTCCGACGGCAGGCGGCCTATCCCGACCCCACTCCGAGGCAGATCGAGTCATGCACACCTGCTACCCCTCACACCGGCCAATAGCAGACCATCTGAGTCTGGGACCAGCCATACTGAGGATTCGGGCGACGGCTGGGACCACCTCCAGACACTTCTGCAGGAAAGTGTACGGTCCCCGACTTCGGAAGCATTCTTTCTTGCGGCCACGCTCCTAGACACCCTGCAAGAAGACTGGGAGCGCAAAGGGCAGCCTCGCGCGGCTATCGCCTCAGAGCGTTCACCCTCAAAGCAGCAGCGCCGAACACTTCCTCTCTCTGATCTCATCAATCCGCCGGAGTGTGATATGTGCTGCACACAGACAACTCATGCACTTGCTCAGGTTGATCAAGGCTGTGTGCGTGTGCCGAGCAGCACCCTGCCAGAGCCCCAGGGATGGATCCCAGCAATGTTGTGTTGTGAGCCCCCGTCTTGGGGGACACTCCTTGCTGACACACCGCCAGACCGACGCGCGTGCTTTGGCCCCACAGACTTGGGATTCTGCTGGCAGGAAATTCATCAAATACTCCAGCTCACTTTTGAGCTCTCGCCATGGGCGGCGTGGACCACCTGTTCGCTTCCCAAAGGTGACCCAGTCTGGCATGCCCTAGAAAGTCTCCGCCAGGCAGTCGCCCCCGGTGACCTTGTGCGCTACACAGACGGCTCATT